ATCCCATAAAGATACTAAAATTTCTGTAAGAGTTGGACCAACTGCTTTACAAATTACCTCTGCCGAAAAATGTAAAGTATTATCACATTCCGTTCTTTTAAATGATGTATATTACGCATCAGAAATAGACCAGGTTTCATTGATGGATGACAATCAGTTTTCCCTTATTATCTCCAATGAAGCTAGTCCATTATTATTTATCCACAATGACTGTGATAGCATTGTGCAAGCTATAATTCACATAAGAAATAGATGGGAATTATCACAATCAGATTCTATGTCAGTTCATCCAAAGATACGACCTAAAGATGTGCCTGGTACTTTATTAAATATGGCTCTGTTAAATCTTGGCAGTTCTGATCCAAACTTACGAACGGCTGCATACAATCAATTGTGTGCATTAACAGCGACGTTTGATTTAAAAATTGAAGGCCAACTATTGGAAACCTCTGGTTTATGTATACCATCGAACAATACAATATTTATTAAACACGTTAGCGAGACATTAGCTGCAAACGATCCACATTTGACCCTCGAATTTCTGGAGGAATGCATTCAAGGATTTCGTATGTCTACCATCGAATTAAAACATTTGTGTTTAGAATATATGACGCCATGGTTAAAGAATTTAGTCAAGTTTTACAAACCCAATGACGAAGGTGGCAAACGTCAGAAGCAAGTCTCGCAAATAATAGATAAACTTATTACTTTAACGATCAAAGAGGTTGAAATGTATCCAAGTATCCAAGCTAAAATTTGGAGCACCATTGGTAGATTACCTGAATTAATAGATACCGTTCTTGATAATTTTATTCAACGTAGCGTTGAATTGGGTTCACCAAGAGTTGAAATAATAGCGGATACAGCTGTAGCTCTTGCATCTGGAAATGTTCAATTAGTGGCCAAGAAAGTAATTGGAAGATTATGCAGAGTGGTTGATAAAACTTGCACTTCCCCGACAACTTCTCTTGAGCAACATAAAATGTGGCACAGCATAGCCATTTTAGCGCGTTATTTATTGATGTTATCGTTTAATAATTGTTTAGACGTTGGAAAGAATTTACCATATATCTTTCACACCGTTACTTTTTTAGTATGTTCTGGAAGTCTTAGTATGCGAGCCTCTACCCATGGTTTAGTTATCAATAGTATACATTCTCTATGTACGTGCAGTTCGCCACAATTCTCTGAAGATACACACAGAATATTAAGAATGAGTCTGGATGAATTTTCATTGCCTAAATTTTATCTTTTATTTGGCATTAGCCAAGTAAAGTCTGCAGCTGTAACGGCATTTAGAACAGCTCATCGTTACTCAAACGAGAAACGTTATGGAAACGAAAGAAACGTTTGTGGAACACAAGACAAAGAAAGATTATCTTTAACGAATTTGGAAGTAATTACCGATGCTCTTCTTGAGATTATGGAAGCATGCATGAGAGATATTCCCAATTGCGATTGGCTTAAAACATGGACATCTTTGGCTAAGAGTTTTGCATTCTGTTTTAATCCTGCTTTACAACCGCGTGCTTTAATCGTTTTTGGTTGTATCAGTAAAAGTATAAATGATCAGGATATGAAACAATTGTTAAGGATATTAGTGAAAGCTTTGGAAAATTTTAATGACATCACACTTTTGGAAGCAATTGTTATGTGTCTTACACGTTTACAACCACTTCTTAGGCCTGTAAGCATTATGTCTGAATAGTATTATTTTTTTTATTATTTTTTTTTTTATTATTTTCTTTTTTTTTTTTATAACCCTTTAAATAATTCATACTCTATTTCTTCCTTTTTATAGGAATCGCCGATACACAGATATTTATTCTGGGTAGCCACGTCTGTTCTTCAATTGGATGAAGCATCTCTATATGCATCTGGTTTGGCACTTCTCGAACAAAATCTACACACTCTTGATTCTCAGGGTACTTTTGATGACAAGGTTTGATATATTATTCATTCCTTTATCAATAATACGTTTATTAGTTTTTTTTTTTAACATTTTGTCAATTAATTTTGTTTAAAGACTTTAGAACGAGTAATGATGTCGACACGCGAACCACTGGAAGGACATTTCAAACAATTGGACAATGCAGTAGGATTATCATTTAAATCTAACTTTCATTTTGCATTAGTTGGACATCTTTTGAAAGGATATAGACATCCCACTCCAACAACGGTAACAAGGACAGCTAGGGTATTAACTATGCTATTAGCTATTGTAGCTAAACCTTATAGAAGAGATAAGTTTGAAGTGTCACCAGAGAGTGTGGCATATTTAGCTGGTATGTTTTCTAAAATATCTATGAAAAAAAAAAGAAAAAAAAAAAAAAGAAAGAAAAAAAAAAGAAAAAAATTACTGAAAGTATCAATTAATTATTCTCTATATAATTATTCTTCTTTTTCTCTTTTTTTTTTTTTTATAGCTTTAGTATCTGTGTCAGAAGAAGTCAGAAGTCGATGTCATATCAGACATTCTCTTAATAAAAATACTACAGAATCTGGTAGTACAGATTTTCTTGACGCTTTGGTATCACATGTTACAGTAAGAAATATCTATCTATCTATATATATATATATATATACCCATATACATATATTCTAAATTTTCTTATTACATGTAATATATTTTAACATTTTATTATTAATAGGATGTGCCTGGAAATACTAGCAATCCAACCAATCGAAGACAAAAGTCTTGGGATCTTCTTGATCAGTCTGCTCTAACTCAAGCTAAGCAACAGAAACAATACTCAGCTCATCAGGTATATACATAACTTTTATTTACTATCACTTAAAGCTTTACTATCACTTTATGTCATACAAATATGAGAACTGTTTTATCATTATTTAAAATGCCGTATTATGTGATTTTATTAATGTACCAAGACCGAATTCATTTCCCTCTTTCTATAAACTATATAAATAATCGTCTAATTATCCTCTATAGTATTTTTCTGGCAAATATAACAAATTAGAGGCACATCGTATGTAATAATAAATTACGTTGTTATGTGATTGTAGATTGCATGTTTTTAATTAAAAATTTGACAGATTAGGCGGCATCGATTATATACCGATATTTTATTTGTTTAATTATTTATTTACCTATTTATCTATCTATTTATTTATTTATTTTTTTTTTTTCACAATGCTTACATAAATGCCAGAAATAGTCTATGGTCCAACAACGATCGCGATTGTTACGATGTACCACCTACCCACAATGTGTTTGGTGTTCCTTGATTTATCTTTGTTTATTCTCTCATTGTGTGTACCCGTGCCTGCCTATATCCGGATTGCATAATACACCATGCAACTTATTACTAACGCGTGTTGCACTTCATCGAACGATACGTCATAATCAACGATGCACGTCTCACTAACAAGACTGGCCGAATTTTATTTAAAACGCAGCGATCCTTCTCCGTACCCACCGCAAAGGAAGCCAAGCCAACTGATGATCCAGAGCCAAAGGTATTTATTTATTATTATCTGATAACATTGAATTATTATTTTTTTTTTTTTTTTTGATAAAACAAAACAATGATTATTTATAAAAACATGGCAATTAATAGAATATATGTATATATATTAAAAAAATATATATATATCTTAACAATGTTTATATTTTTTGTTTTCCTTTTTTTTTTTTTTTTTTTTTTTTTTTTTTTTTTTTTTCAAGAATCGTAGTGCTAGGGTTAGCGTGAGTAATGAAAATAACGTATTGCTCGACCCTGAAGTATTAACGGATTTCCCAACGCAAATCCTGGTTCTGACTGTTTTGGCAACTTTGGTCAAATACTCGACGGACGAAAATGAAACGCGAATTCTCTATGAGTACCTAGCAGAGGCATCTGTGGTATTTCCTAAAGTTTTTCCTGTCATGTAAGAATATCATTCTTTAAAAATAATATTATAAAATTACAATTGATCGTTCAGTAATTAAATAGTAACTAAACAACGTTTATTATATCATTTATAGACACAATCTATTAGATGCAAAAATTAATACTATATTGTCTTCTTGTCATGATCAAGCCATTTTAAATGCCGTACAAGGAATCATACAAAATATGATCGCATGCGAGGATACAAGTCAACAGCAACTTCATTATTTACAAAGTTATGGTTTTGGTGGATTATGGAGATTTGCTGGGCCATATTCGAACGTAAATAAATGTATATAAATATATATATATCTATATATGCGCTATTAGAAATAACTAACGTGTTATTCGTATTATTTTTTTAGTGCAATTGTACGGCAGAGAGTGCGGAATTGTTTGTTAATTGTTTAAAAGCAATGGTAAAATCTTGTCCATCTACTGAAGAAAATGAACTTGCTAATACCAACGAAGCATCATCTCAAAAAATTAAACGTATTGTAAGCGATGGACATGGTACAGATAATAATACATCCAAATTTAAATCTACTAATTCTGGAAGTGATCGTATGAATATACGTACTTTCTCAGAGGACACAGATGATTCACGTGGCACTACTTCTATGCGCAGAGAGTAAGAAGAGTTTATCCTGTTTTCTTTTCTTTTTTTTTCTTTTGTTTTTTTTTTTCTTTTTACAGATTTAAAATTTAATTTATAGATGAGTATATATATATATACACATGTATTAAATATATATATATATATGTGTGTGTGTATGTGAATTATTTTAGTCATAGTGTAGAAACTAAAGGAGGCATTCCCACGGACTCAATGAGTCAAGCAGAAATAGCAAGTAGTAGTAATGGTGGTATACCTTCCTAACGATTAGTACGCCATTATTGTAAACAACATGGAAAATTACAAAGGAAAGGTCAATGCGTTCGAAGTGTAAAAAGTCGAAATAGGTAAATATATATGTATATGTTTGTATGTGTCTATGTATGTATATATATATATATATATGTATATATATATATATATATATATATGAAGAGTGAAACCTATTTAATATAATTAGAAGTTTAATGATTTGTTATATTATAATGAAGGTATATGGCTTCAACATACCGCAGTAATATCTCCAGTCACTTTAATCCAATGCCGTCCACCTCACGCTAACGAGCCTACAGGAATGGATGCCAACAACCAATCAACCAACCAACCAACCAACCAACCAACCAACCAACCAACCAACCAACCAACCAACCAACCAACCAACCAACCAACCAACCAACCAACCAATTAATCAACCAATCCATTGGTAGCTCTTCATTTATTTTTATTAGTGATGTTTACATATACGTATTTACATAACTTTGCATTATTTTCAAAGTCACATTTAATCACCCATCAACGAATATACAGTTAATATACAGCCTTGTTGTAAATAATATTCAGCAAACGTTAATAAGGCTGTGTGATAATGATGATTAATGCTTAACATTATTTCAGAAAACTCAAATTTCTTCATTCATATATATATATATATATATACACGAACACACAGACACAGAGAGAAAGAGAAGAGAGAGAGAGAGAGAGAGAGAGAGAGAGAGAGAGAGAGAGAGAGAGAGAGAGAGAGAGAGAGAGAGAGAGAGAGAAAGAGAGAGAGAGAAAGAGACATTAATTATTTACATTCGTCTCTTACCATTGTGCTATTTTATTTCATTTCTTTTGTTTATCTTTTTTGTTTTCATTTTCTTTTTAATTTTTATTATTCTTTTTCTCCCATTAAGAGAAAAGCTATCGATCATACATACACAAAGTTATTATTAATAATATATAATGACGTTTATATCCTCGTACAGTATTTGACGAGTTTTAAACATGCAAAAGAAGTTCTGGACCAGTGTCGTTCTTGGTACTCAAATGCTTTCTGTCCCAAAGCGTTCAAGCCTGAGGACGAATATCTTTAAAGTCCTTAAGTGAAACACCAATGATTTTATTATCTAATATTTATTAAAGTACAAAACGAGACCATGCGTTATTTACCCGCAGTTTGAAAAACGGGACATTTTAGAGTAATAGAAAAACGATCGTGAGACCTACGTAAATTTAGGATTTTTCCTTCGTCTGGCGCAAAGACGATGGGTTATATGTATGAGTTAGTATATAATAATAGCTTTCATTGTAGCAATAGAATATATATATATACACACACACACACACATATATATATATATATATATAAATATATATATATATATATCTATAATAAATGCACACATGTGCGTTTGTACATAACTTAAATACGCGCATATATATATATGTATGTATGTATGTATAAATACATGTATATATATATGTATATGTATATATATATATATATATATATATATGTGTATATATATGTATGTCCTGTATAGAGATGCAAGTTTTTAAAAAAATGTATAATATAATTAATTTCACGAAATAATGATCGTTTTTAGAGATGAGGAGGTTTAAAAAGAAGAAAAAGATATATAACACAATTAAAAAAAAAAAAGAAAAAAAAAAGAAAAAAAAAAGAAAAAAGAAAAAGAAAAAAAAAAGAAAATTAAAGAAAGGAAAAAAATAAGAAATGTAAATTAAAATCCGCATACATTAATAATAATAATGTGTGTGTGTATATATATATATATATATATATATACACACATACGTATATATATAGTCTCTATTATCGTAATCGTACTTAGATATTTTTGAAATATCTTTAATGAAAATACGTTAGAGAAACAGAGAGCATTGTTGGACTAATTAAAGATTTATGTGTTATGTACCTCGTACAACGATGTATATAAATTACACCCCTCCCCCCAAAAAAAAACTCAAGTACAATCGCAAACAAATTTTTCAGTGTTCTTTGTCATGTAGAATTTTTAATAACGATTGCTTTCAATCAAAACATTTTCTCTTTTTGCTTTACTTTTGATTTCAATTCAAGTTTTAGTTTTCTAATTTTTCTAATTGACATTGCTTTAAAACGTAAATAAGCTTCAATATATTCATATGAAGGAATTTATTAATATAACAGTGTAAACGATTTTGTATGAATACTCATAACAATTTTGTACTTACATATGAGCCATTGATTTATGAAATTGATCTAATTCATTTGAGATATTCCAATACATACTTCATTATGTGCTATTTTTTATAATTATAAAATTACATCAAAGAATTATTTTTCAATAATAAATAGTCTTTCTATTGTCATTTTATAGATAAATTATTTTTAAATAATTCCAAGTTAAGTATGAAAATATCTCAAAATGATAAGTAAACATGATTTAGATCATTTTCTACATTGGTCATTGACTCATATATTGTATAGTTAACTATATAATCTCTGTTCTCTTAACGCTTTCATAGTACTTCTGTTTTTTTTTTTCTATAGTAATAATCGTTAATGGTATATTAATTAGAAGCTGTAGTACGCGTTGGAAAGTTTTATCACAATGTCTATTTTATTAATTATCAGATTTAACAAATCTGACAAATTGATAATTATTCTATAAAGAAATATGTGTACAGTACAAATGCGACTAATTTTTCATTTTATATTATGCTTTATTTCTAGCAATGTAAGTCACCATTTTTCCTATAGACGTGAAGTTAAGATATTTGTATTGTCACAATGTGCAATTTATATATCTAAATGTCTAATTATAGATTTTCTTTTCTTTTTCCTTTTCTTTTTTATGCCTGCACTTGTTTCAACGCAAACTTCTATTGTCTAAATTCAGAAATATCAATTATGATGGAACACTGCAATTATCATGACATAACGTTAACAAATGCTCAAACGATTATATATATATATATATATAATGGTTTCTAAAATAAATGAATAAATAAAATGATGATCTGTGTAAATAAGAAATACAATTAGATAAAAATCTTTGCAAAGGCCTATGATTTTGTGGTAATAAGGTCTGCTTCTTAAATGTGATGTATTTATTATATTATAAGTTTAATAAGATAATGATTATTATATATATATATATATATATTTTATATGTATACATATATATATAATAGAAATTTATTACATATAAACACACATATAAGACAACATATATTAAAGTTATATACATATATGTGTACATAATAAAAAAAAGAAAAAATCTTTTGTATATACATATGTATGTATTCGCCTGTTTGTATATGTGTATATATATATATATATGTGTGTATATGTATATATATATATATATAAAGGTTATACTTTATGAATTTTAAGTTCTTAGAATATATTAAGTATTATTATTAAAAGTCGAATGCAAATCGAATTATTGTACAATACTAAAATAAAAGCACCTATACTTAATATATTTTCAGACTTATTTCTCTCAGATACCATTAATTTTTCAATTGAACAAATTTATATTTATCAATTGAAAAATGACATATGTATAAACGATCGTATTGTTATTATCGATATATTATGCATAATATTAAAAAAATATCGTAGTGTAGTAAAAAAAAAAAGAAGAAAGATTAAAAGATAAGAAAATAGGAATTAGTATTAGAGAATGAGACAAATGCTAAAAATGAAATCGTTGAATTAACCTATATTTAGAATTGAAAAGAGTATTGATAATAGGAAAAATTAAAATTAATTAATCAGACTATCGATTATAAATGTATGATTAATATTAAAAAGAAAAATATTACAAGTTAATTGAACGTATCAATTAGTAAATGTAATAACTAATTAAACGGTACGAACAGTTCCAGAAGCAGAAACAGAACTATGTCAACACTTCGAGATACAGTAATATAGACTAATTGTTTACAGAACGAGATGAGGTAAGTCAACGACGAGTCCCATTATTCATGTTGTTTACAGTCCTCATCACGTTTCTATTTGCCAAATAATACAATCTCCAAGTTTGAATTATACAGTAGGTTTCTCAAAAGTTAATCAACCTAATAATTTCTTTTTTATAATGTGTATTATTATTAAAATCCACAATTATAAATTACATTTTTATATTTCGCGCGGTTTCGATATTTTTCTAACAGAGCGCGCTGCAGTATCGATACGAATTCTTTTTTTGTTTTGATCACGATCACATCTTTCTCTTATATCGTATTATTTGTTTTCATTAATTACGTTATAATTTACAATATTCACCCTATAAAAGTGTTAAACAATGAAATATATATATATATATTGATATCGATTCGATAATTTTTCTTATGACAAAATGGCTTCCGTATCGTTGAAAGGTACAAGAAAGACGTATAGCTTCGAGGAACGAGAAATTTTAATAACTTTGATAAACAAATACGAAGATATTGAAGATAGAAAATCCGATCCAATATCAATGTGTAAAAGAAAATCAGCTTGGACACAATTAGCTGAAGAATATAATTCTATGGTCGGTCCACAAAGTGCACGTTCAGCTGTACAGCTAAGACGTTGTTGGGAAAATATGAAAGCTTGTAAAAGAAATCGCGAGGAGAAAAAAACGCGGTAATTAATGTCCAATAGATTTGTCAAATTTATTAATTATAAGGAAAAGGAAGAGGAAGAGCAAGAGAAAGAATTTTTTTTTTTTTTTTTATTCTCTGGAATCATCTAACCTAAAATTTCTCAATTAATATCTATTTAGAAACAATTCAAAAAGTTTTTGTCAATTGTCAAAGGATTTTACACAATCATCGATTTCTTCTTGGGAAAATGGAAATGTTTATGAGAAACAGAGACCGGAAGTACCACCGACTAGCGGAAATGGTTGCTTACCGCCTAACGTAGTCTTTGAACCAAAAGATTCCGAACCTTTTACATTGCAAAGTGTATGCTCATCGAAGCTTGCAAACATAAATTTAAAAAAGGAACCTGACAATACTTCCAACGAGTCTAATGGTATATATATATATACCATTATATATATATATATATATATATAAAATTATTTATTTCTATTCATCGTTCCCGCCTTTATTTGAAATTTCATATTTAATTGTATTTGTATCAGGTAATACATCGAAACATATTTCTGGATTACAAGATACAATTGGTGGTAAACAAACAGGTTGTATAATTACGTCACAGGGAACAATGTTGACTGATTGTAGAGGAACGAACGATCTATCGATCATCGATCATAGATCAACGGACGAGGAAGAATCAATGGAACCTAGTCAATTGGCTTATAGATCAAATACGACTCAAAGCTTCGTTGTTTCTTCTCCTTCGCGGATAAACGATTCTCATAATCATCGTAAGACGAAAAGATCTTTACAAAAGGAAGATGAATTGCAACTTCTTGCACTCTCAGAGGCTCAGATTAAGGTCGACGTAGCAGCGATGTTGAAGGAGGAGGCTAGAATCAAACTGGAGGAGGCTCATTATCGTAAAGAAGAAGCTAGGCTTAGGATGCTTTTCTTTACTTACAAGCTTGAGAGGATAAAGGAAGATTGAAAAGATATCATTTCAACGTCGTTCTTTTTTTTTTTTTCTTTTCTCCTCTTTCCTTTCTCTCTCTCTCTCTCTCTCTCTCTCTCTTTTTTCTTTTTTTTCTTTTCTTTTTTATATAATAGCCATCGGTTTATTATTATAACGTAATATATAATATCAATTTATTTAAAATATTTGTTTATAAATGCTATTGCGATATAATCGTAATAAATATAATGCTTATGTTTCTTTCATGAGAAAAAGAAGAAGAAAAAAAAAAACAGAAAAAAAGACTAATGATACCTTTTTATCTTTGCAGAGTTTTGTAACAATCGTAAGAGTATTTATAGGTATTGAAGAAGTGACGTGCGATGTAATATTATTATTATGATTAGAAATGAAAAGAGAACATTTGAAAATTTGAAATGGGATTAAAACGATACATTAGATATTTATCATATATATATATACAATTTATCGATTTCCATAGATAAAATTTTTATAGGAAAATTTGTATGTATAAAAAAGAAGAAACAGATTTCTTTTCGATTAACGAGGAAAATTTATCAAATATTAATTAAATTTTTTCATGAATTTTTTGTTTTCGTTTTTTTTTTTTTTTTTTTTTTTTTTTTTTTTTTTTTTTTTTTAGCGATTCTGTATTATAAACGTTTGGCAGTGATTATTCGGTATTAAAAACAGTTTTGATCTTGACTAGTGGAGAAACTTTTAGTAAGCAGTTTCATTAAAAAAAATATTTGGTCTATTTTTTCCTTTTCTTTTTTTTTTTTCCTTTTTATATGTACCCAGTCATACTTAGCTCGAGTTTGATCATCGTTTAAATGCATTGTTTGTTCTTACGTTATTAAAAAAAAAAAAAAAAAAAAAAAAAAAAAAATAAAAAAAATAAAATTCATGAAAACGTATAGACGGACGAAATGCTTTCTTTCATTTTTTTTTTTTTTTTTTTTTTTTTTAGAAAGAATTATCGATAGATTTTCCCTTTTTTCTTTACATAAGATGAAAATTATCGTTCAGCGCTTGTTTCGACATATTCTGCGAACAACGAGTCACCTCGAAAAGCGAAGGATCCGTATAAATTGGTTCGCTAGGATCAAATCCTGATCTTCTAGCGGTCGATAAACCAACGGCACCCTCTAATGCTGTCGAAGACGAATTCATACGTTGTCCAATGATATTGCTCATCGATCTTGATATAGATCTACATATAACGGGAATCATATAATTAATTAAAAATTAATAATCTCAAGAGTGATGATTTTCTTTTTTTTTTTCTTTCTATAATTAAAAAAGAAAAAAATACCCATACGTGGATTGAAATGGTTTTTGTAGTCCACTTCTCATAAAGGAAAAGTTATTCACTCGGCTACTGTAGGTTGCATCATCAGAATGATTACTACGATTACTGGCCTTATCAACTTTTCGATTTTTCATGATCACAGAATATGCATGTTTCCTATCGTAATTATCATCATCATCATCATCATCATCATCATCATCATCATCATTATAAAAATAGTTAAATCAAATATTATAGAAACTTATTACGGCTTACCTGTAAACTAACATTGAAAGTAATACTACTGAAGCCAATAACACTACCAGAACGCCAACTGCTGTAACTAGGCCATAATATTCGTTTGGAGCTATACAAACTGTCTCAAGAATTGCACTTTGTTTTTCCACTTTAGTCTCCTCTTCTTCGATGTCCATTCTCGAATCTAATACCTAGAAAAAGAAAAAAAAAAAAAGAAATAAAAGAAAAAAGAAGGAAAAAGTATAAAAGAAGCATAACTCTATACGTAATAAATATACATCAGAATTTGTTAAACAATGTTTCATCGTCACAATTATACGATCCCTCATTTCAATATATTAATATATTATCTACCTCAATCATCTCTCTGACATGTTCTTCCTCGGTCTCCTCGTTATCCTCTTCATCATTCGATCGAGTAGTACCCATAACATATGTCGAATTTGACGTAATCGTGACATTAATATCCTTCTCGATAATCGTACTGGTCTCGGTTGGATCCTCTTCCATTAGTATCGTATCATTGGTTATATCTCTTCGTCGTCTTCCAAAAGATGGCTCGCTTCTTCCGCTACCCCCTGAACAATATGCCGGTTGACAACCATCCCTGCAGGTTCTTACGGTTGCTTCGAATACCAAGAAATTCGATTCTGGTATTTTAAAGGCATTGAAACGTGCTTCCAAACTGTCACCGTCACGAAGACGATCCAATCCAGGAAAGACGTAATTGTCCACCGGACAACTGAAATATAACAGACAATAGATATTAGATCGTAATTTATATATATATATATATATATATCTTACTCACCCATATCTATCTATAAGTTGTACACTTCTTCCCGAGTAAGGATCCCTGGCTATGACATTGGTAGCAAATATGTCCGTTACATAATTATATCTATAAGTTAAAACGAACAAATTATATCAATTATCAATGATAATGATAATTCGTTAATAAATAATTCATTCTTTCTCACCCTTCTTGCGCTTCCAATCTAAAAGTAAGAGGATCACCAACGGCTATGGTAGTCGTGGGTCTACCTTGATATAAAATCAACAGACGCACGCGAGAACTCAAAGTATTCTCTGCTGGGAGATATTCGATTGGTATTGGAGAACCTGATCTGTTGAAACGAACATATAAAAGCTTTCCATTAGTTAAATTAAACTTGATATTTGAATATACGAAAGGATTATTATGTTTATATGTATTCTGAACGTTAATTATCGAGGTATCGTTAAATGGCCTTTGAAAAGATTATTACATTATACTTGGGATCTTTTCTCTTTTTTTTTCCTCCTTTTGTTCTGTTTTTTTTTCTTTTTCTTTTTTTTTCTCTCTCTTTTTTTTTTCTTAAGAAAAAAGAAGAAAAAGAAACTATTATATCGAAGGTATGTTACTCAGATAATGGATCTGTAAAATTCCTGGAACGTGTTTATAATCGCGATGATAAACTTCTTATATAATACTAATCTAAGACAATGTGCATTGCATTAATCCATAACACGAATTAGATAATCCATTTGCTATTTCCTGTGCAATAGACGATCTTCCGATCGATATGACCTGGCATACCCGGCACCGATGTAGCCGGACGTGACGACAGCTTCACCAGGGCCTCGAAATAGACAGGTAAGATTGAAACGTTTATCTCGTCCGGTTTGTACGTAATCCGAGAACTGGACCACTACGATATTCGTCATTGTGTCCCCGTACTATATGTGTATATATGTATATATATACGTAAAAAAAAAATTTAATTCAAAATTATTTTCAATAAATCGTGGAAATATCGTGGATTAAATTTAATATAAAAAAGAAAAAAAAAAAGAAAAGACATTGTGATTATTCTTACGCGTTGTGTCCCACATTCAGGATAACCTTGAGGTCCACTGATTCGTAGTACGTTAACTGTACCACCGTTACCACGGAAGAAACATCGATCGTAATAGCCGTAAGTGTAAATCCTACCGATGAATCCTTCCGGTGTCCTTAGAGTAAATTCCATTCCGTCCTCGCTACAAACTTGACTCACTGAAAGAAATAATCAATTGTAAAAGGAAAAAAAAAAAACAGAAAAGAGAAGACATCATCTCGTACTTAAAACGAACTTGTATAAGACATTATATAAAAAAAAAAAAAAAAAAAAAGAAAGACAAAAATTTATTATCAGATAGAATCTTTTTAGAACATTTTATACAACGAATGAATTATTTCAGGATTGTTTGTCAGGTTCGATTTAAAGTTATTCATTTTTTTTTCAGCCAAAATATTTTCACGTCGTCAATAATGCTCTCGACTTATATTAGGAAATTAAAAAAAAAAAGAAAAAAAAAAATAGATATCAAATGGGAGATCCATGACGGTGTACTTCTTTGTCTGTTGATGATTCTCATAAATTTTTTATTTATTTATTTATTTATTTATTTATTTATTTATTTATTTATTTATTTATTTATTCATTTTTTATCGAGTCAAATCGACTGATCATTATTATTATTATTATTATTATTATTATTATTATTATTATTATTACTATTATTGTTATCATTATCGTTGTTGTTGTTTATTAATGATTTTTACCATCGAGACATTCTCCATCAGCACCTTGTCTTCCATTATTTCTTTCATAAAAATCATAATCAGATCCGGTGTCATAATAAATTGGATTTCCCATATCCATGTCTCTGGAATCACGATCGCTGAGTTCACAATTGTCTCTTTCGGCTCCGTAAGGTGCAGCGTACGGACGATAATTGAAAGATCTGCATACGAAATCCCTAGCATCCGCACATTCTCTCTCACATTGTGCTAAGGATGAAGCTGTTGTATATCTTCTAACGAAGGGTTTTCGTACTCTTGTATGCGGTCCAACTTGTCGGAAATTATCCTGTTCGTCGCATCTTGAGATTAAAGGTGGCCGACCTATTATAGGGCCTCCACTTGTACCAAATGGTCTGGTATTGTAAACTCCACCTTCTCCTATGTAACCACCACCGATTATACCACCAGAATCGCTACCATATCCATTATATCCACCTGGACGTGTTGATCCATAATGTGGACGTTCGACTGGATGATTTTGAGGACCTCGTACGTCATCAATAAATCCATGCGCATAAACACCATGTCCGTTTCCTGGATACCTATGGAAAGATGTTTATATATAAAAAAAAATATATGTATATATATATATTGTAATTTTATAATAATATAAATAAAATAAAAAGATATATCTATATTTACATTAATATTGTTATATAAAATTTAAATTTATATATATATATATTCATTTATATTATTATATAATTAAAATTTATACTTTTATTTATATAATTTATATATATATATATACATATATCGCGTGTGAGTAAAATACCTTATGATTTATTAACTGACCTACTAGGGTAATCCTTATCAGGATATCTATCACCTACAGGATATCTGTCTCCGGTAGGTCTACCCACGCTAGAAGGATATCTATCTAATGGATCTTCAGGAACAGGATAACGATCTATTGCCGTTGGATAACGTTCACCA